ATATATATATATATAGGTGGTACGCATATTATACATTGTTACATTCACGGAAAAATCGATCTCGAAAATATATATAAAGGTTCAACAGGCTGTCGGGAAAAAAGGAACTAGATTGGATTTGTATCGAGCGATATCGAGAAAAATTCTTATTTACAATACAGAGAACTTGGCCTGTTTTTTCCTCTCTCTCTCTTTCTCTCTCTCTTTCTCTCTCTTTTTCACACACACATACACACACACACACTCACACACACGTTCGATTCGTTTCCTCAACGACTCGCGAGTAATTTGCACGATGAGATCCGTTCGTATTCCCATTATGAAAGTGTTACGTTTTTTTATACATGATCATCCGCTATAACGTTGCAATTACCGTTAAAAGAGCAGCGGGCCAGCGTCAAAATTTCTGGCACGAATATAGTAATAATTGTCCAGTTGGTTTGCCACCCCGGATAAAATCGTAAGAAACGCCGACGAGCGTTTCTTGAAAATTGTGGACGCGTGGGCAGAAAATTGCAAAAGTTGCAATCTCGAAGCTCGCGTCCGTTTCGATCGGGGCTCCAAGACCACGTTGACGCATCGTGATTAGATGCGTCCAATTGCGTTTGTCGCAGATTCGGCGATAAAACGAATTTGAGCTCGATAGGATGGGGGACAAGCTAAGGGGAGGTTCTTAGAACGAGCGCGCATTCGGCCGAAGCTAGGAGTTTCGCGAATCTCTCGATCGAAACTCTCACTTCCAAACGACTATTCCGTTCTCGATCGTATCAAGAGATCGAGATAACGGAAACTATACAACTAACGAAAACACGTCTTCTTGAATTGGTTTAGAAACACGTGTAGATACATGGAGTCTACGTCGACGAAACGGGTACTGGAATCCCCTAACGATTGTCGTTTGGAACCAAATTTTTCGATGGATTGCGGGCTGCTTTTTATAGAGTCGTTCGACCTGGACTGATCCGTGCCCTCGACGCAAGCTTGCCTCAGCCAATCCCGTAGATTCCACGTTCTCTCCATCAGATTCGAGGAATGCTTCTCAACCGTGCATACGCTGGTGGTGAAACCGCTATTGGGACCGTACTGGGCGATAATGTTTTGCGCGGTGGGTGTCGGTGGTTGAGTCACTGTCAACTGAGATAGGATGTTCGACTGAATGTTTGGTGCACCGAATGTTCCTGGAAAGCAGACCGAATTAGGGAGGGAATCTTTTTCCATCGGACGATAAGATTGGGATTTCCGTTCACCTTGTATATTATTCGATTCGGCGGCAAGATGATGGAAACGCAGCCATCGCAAATACGAATACATCAAAGTCGGAGGCGGTGGTATGTTCGTGTCCTGACGTTTATTCAGCACGCCCCATATCTCACGTATTTCCGAGTTTAGGTTTTCCAGACTTGCGATGATTTCCGTCGACTCCTGGTAGTGATCCGGTTTGTCTGAGTACGAAGGATCAAGACCACGAGATGGAAAATAAATTCTTGAGTGGAAATAAATCAACGAAAGGCGGGATTTCGAAGTCTCGAAGAAATGAACTTGAAAGAAAATGAAGCAACAAAACAGAGAGAGGATACATAATCGAGAAATAATCGACAGCAGAATAGAAAGAGAGTCGTTTACTTGGAGGGGGCTCACCTACGAACGTGTCGGTCCCGAGATCGGTTGAACTGATACCGCTGCTCACGCTCGACATATCGCTCAACGTCAATTCCTCGTTTTTGGTCGCGTTCCCGTCGTTCTCGTTTGTCTTCGCGTTAACCACCCTCTCCAAAGATTGCTCTAAATGCCTCAGATGGATCACTTTCTCGCCCAAAAGGCTCTTGGTTCGATGCAAATTCACCTCCATGTCGGAAAGTTCGCGTTCTTCCTAAAAAATTCGAAACGAACCAACGAGCGAAAGGGTGCAACGAATTCGTAAAAAAGAAGAAAAAGAGAGATTAGATGGAACTCGACGAAAGAGAATCGTACCTGAAGCAATTGTTCGAGGGTCGCTTTGACGCTACGCTGCTTCCAAGCCCTCTGCCTCCCTTGGAACACGTTCTCCTGATGTCGAAGCGCCTCCCGTGCTCTCTTCACTGAATCCCTTTCCACGTGAATTCGGTGCCGGAAGAACTCCAGCTCCGAAGAGGCGTTCGCTGGTGCTAGAAAATCGAGCAGAATCCTTTCCGGTGTCACCCGATGAGCTCGGACACGACGAGCTACGCTAATGAAAGCGAGCGTGCGAGAGAAGGGATAATCAAAAAGAAAGAAAGAAAAGAAGAAGAAGAAGAAGAGGAAGAAGAAGAAAATTAAAAACTACTACGCGGAAGGATGAAGGAAAAATAAAAAATATGATGGTGCACTTACGAGTGGGTGAATAGGGAGTGCAAGCCGCTAGTTAAAGTAGAGTGTATAGATGCCTGGGGAAAGAAATAAAAACGACGAATATAAAGAAGCTTCAAAGCTCTTTAGAATTAAAGCGATTAAGCCGC